TTTGTGCGGAACTGGAAACCGTTACTCAGGGGAACCTTATACAAGAATCACTGGTGAAATGTTTACTCCTGAGGGGAACATAGACACCACAATTCTATGGCTTACCGAAGGTGCATACGGGCGGCATTCCATTACGACTCATCCTAAACGTGATCAGTTGACCGCAACATGCATTAGCAAAGTGGTTATCTAAATGCCTACTACCGGTGAGAGAGTCAAGTGCTCGGCGCAATGTAAAAGATAGCTTTGAGATGTGCAAATATTTGGCCCATAGAAATACTTAACAAAGACAAATGTTTACAATGGATGTCAGTTCGCTATTAGCAAGCGTTTCGCTTTATGAGACCATCGGGATTATTTGTCAGGTAATTGAGGGAAAGAATTTGCAAAGCGGAATGCCTAGCAGTGAGCTATCGCGACTTCTACTCCTTTGTGTTGTTATGTCATGTTGTCCTTTGTGATTAGCGATCTTGTCTTCGTCTCACGGTTAGTATCTCACTGACCATAAAATTCACTTTGACTGCGGTATGCACGTGTACAGATGCAGTGAAATAACCATGAATATATTGTGCAAAGCCATGTTTCTGACTTCTTTATTCAAATTTGTGACGGGAAAACAGTGTTTTCAATTCCTTTTGGATCATTCTTGGTAAGAAATGGATTTCGTTCGTTGTACAAATTTAGCTATTTTTAGAAGAGGCTAAAATTTGGGTGTATATTTGTCCCTGTTATGTAACCTTGATTTCTTTTTAAGTATTAGGGTTAACAGTGTTCTATGCGGTCTGATATCTTCCACGGTAATCAACTTTCCTATCTTCCTCCAACTGCCCCGTCAAAATGGGCAACAAAAATGACAGTAACTCAAAACGGCGGATGGAAGTACATGGAAAATGGTTGCATAAACTGAAAATGGAACTGAAACAATAATCAGATTGAAGTCACTGAGATCCTCGAGCTTCATGAGGACTAGCAACTTTGGTTTTCGTAACCACAAACTGCTTCTGTGCTCACGTCTAAATGCCACACTTGGTCATGCATTCGGTTGGCCAATAGAGAAATAAATCAACGTGAATAACTGATAGTGTTAGATTGATTGTATTCAACATACTATAGTTATTTACTTCTCTGAAGAAAAGAGCAAAGTTATGGAATGAAATTGAGAAGTTTAATGATCATACAAAGTCACTTTGCGCAGTAAAATACCACGCACATTATCAAGCAAGATACTCTAGAGATATTTCCCCAGGCAATAAGGGTGGTGTGTTTATAAGTGTATTGAATATAAATTATTCGCTCCGTTCTTCAAAAGCTAATCACTGATATTCATTTTTTCTGTGCTCTCGTTATTACAGAAAGAGAGAAAGCAAGAGCGAGGTTCCCGGATATGGCAACCGAATATCTTTAGTTTTAGGCTGTCAATAAAACTCCACGTTGATAGTTCGAGTCAGAAGTGCTTTGAAAATAAAGATATTAATCAACTCAAGAACCTACTTGAATCATTTGTGAAGATTTTACAGAAAAAGAAAATCAAAATAACCAAATCAAGAGGTGACGGTCAAGTGGATAAGGTCATCAGAACATCCGAATTCCACCTTCATTTACTGAATTCACATGGGCCTTAGATAACCACTGGTCCCTTCCCGAAAATTGATTAATTTAACCAATAGAGAAGGAAACTAAAATAGAATAATGATTATACTGCCGACTGACTCCTAATGAATCACTGAATCAAAAATAGGCATTATAAAACAAGAACCGCTTGTATTACACGACAAGAAATATAGTTTAAAAGGTTAGATATTTCATGTATTTAGATGGATTATTCAGATGAATTAATAACACCGGATGCCTACTCCTTCCTTTATGTTTCCTGCAGCTCTGGTTGAGCTCTATCTGGCTCGAGCTCAGATTCATTTGAGCTGTCATCGAGTTATGGACGCGTATGAGGATTCACAAAGAGTAAAATCTATTTGTCCGGATCATCCAGCAGTGGAACAGTTGCTACAAAGCCTGGGCCATCTCTCAACAGAGCAAAGGAAACGCGCCATGCAGCTGGCTTTGAAGGGTCGTTTAGATGAATCGTTGATCCACTTGACATTGGCGATTGCAGCAAATCCGCTCAATCCAATATTGTACTTGGAACGCAGTGTTGTACATCGACGTAAAGGACAATATTGGAAGGCGTTAGATGATTTGTGTCGAGCTGTCCATTTTCAATCAGATTCGCAGTCAAATAAAATGGAGATCATGCGCACGGCACAAAATCAAATATTTGTCACCCTGATTGAACTAGTTTTACAATGGTACTTCGATGGTCAAGCTTGTATCGCGTTGTACTTGATTGATAACGTGATTGATGCTGTTCCGAACTACTTTCTACCCTACCTAATAAAAGCAGATTGTTACGTACAACTGAATGCCAAGCAAAATGCGGTCATACATTACGAACGAAGTCTGAATTGCTTGAAATTGACTGATCCGATGTTAGTTCGACATACCATCGTGAATCGTATTTGTCAAACCAGATTATCCCTGGCTTTGTCAGCCATGACCCATCTCAACTGGAAGGGGGCAGAACAAGAGCTGGATCATTGTGTGGATTATGAGCCTCTTGTACCGGAATTTCACGCATTTCGTGGACGTGTATACTACCAACTGGGTAAGAAGGAGCAAGCATGGCAGGAGCTGCTAGCGTGTTGTTATCTGTACATTAGTGATTGGGCATTAAATATGCGTACATCCGGTCGTTGGTCTGAACTACCTATATCGGTAAAAGACAGATTGGTTGTGCATTTGACAAGGAAATTGGAGTGGAGTGCCGGTTCACTGATTTCCAGTTTTGTGGCTCATCCGATGGCTTTGAGGGAGCTGGCAAACGGTAAATGTTGTGTCCCGGTTGCACAGAAGATTAACCAATTTCTTCGTCAATACAAGTCGATTGGCATCGAACGTCGAAACCCGTGGTTGAGTGGCTGCTCTCGAGGCAAGAATCTTCGTGACTTCCTAAAGGCACCTTGGCCCCGATTCGAAATTGAATCTAGCCGTTTATCCTCCCTGTGTTCCAGCCGGTCCAGCCAATCGCATAGTTTGATTAGAGAAAAGAAGCAAATCAAGGCCCAAGTGGAACAGATACGAGCAAAACGGCGCGGATAAAGCAACAAGTACAATTAGGATACTTTCGAGGTTTAACTTATTAGGATTTAAAATGTGATATGCAAATGATGATACATTTTATCTAAGTAATCAATGAGCATTGTGTCGTTAACAACATCCTATCGCGATTGCTCGATATTCTGTTATCTTTCTTTCATGTCTGACCATACTTATACAGAAAACTAATAATTCGGTATCCTTTTGAGGCTTAAAAATGCGATCATGACACTGTGCAGTTATGTAGTTTTTATTTCAAGCCAATGTTTTTTGCCTGTGTATCCTTCATTTGCCTTTTAAAACCTTATTATACTTTAGGAATTCGTATATGCGTATTTTGTATCTGAAAGTGGAATTCAATATTCATTGCAATCGTTGGGATAATAATCTAGTAACGGAGCAAACATTCAAGTATAGACCATAAGTTAGGATCTTAATTTCTCAGTGGGCATAACATATCTAACGGGAGCCGTGAAATAATTATGTAGATTTTTTCTTCACATGCAATCTGGTTTATGGATTTCTGTTGTGTAGTTTAAATATAACTTACTGAAAAGGTTGTGCATCAGGCCCATTTTTGACTGGGTAAATTGATGCTCACTCAGTATTCATGACCAATATCAACCATAGATATCGTCATGAAAATTTAACCACAACGTTTTCATGCGAAGGAGTTGGCTGAAATTATCATTGTGATCTTTCCGTGTCAGGTTTAAGGGGTAAGATTTATCCGACCTCAGGAAAACTGGACACCGGGGTAGAACTATGGTGCTTTATGAAAAGTAGCCCATGAATATCTTGATCGCAGAACCACTCGCGACCTCTCTCTCAACCCATCTATCTGCTCGTGCTTGAAGTGATCCCGTTCGACAAATATAATTGGTTGAGTGAAATTTCGCCCTGAAATACACATTATTCCAAAAGATACGTCAGTAGACAACCACTGATAAACATTCCCCTCGTATATTCTTACTGATCACATAAGTATAACACATACCAAAAGAGACACTCCCCAACTTCTGTTATTATTGCTGTTGCATTGGCACCAAGCTTGTTCTCAAGCCGATTCTCTCTGTATATATCTATATATCTATCTATCTATATATACTTATATGATAGATAGACGGATAGAATAGACCATTAGTAAAGGTCATGCACTTTTGTTGGGAGCTATCCTTAATTACTCGGTAAACCTCAGGGTTGTTTGCGACGACATTGCAAAAGTGAGAAATGTTCGCAGGGCGTACAATGTGACCGCTTTTAAACAAAGTGGTTAATGGTGGTCGAGGTTGGTCTACGTGATGCAATCAAAATATGTGGTGTAGTCTGAGTTAGTGATTCACTTTCTTTGCAGGCCACTTAAAATAAAATCCCCAAAATAAAACTTCCAGCTGCTAGCATGATGCTGCAACTAGACGACTGATAATGCAAAAAAAATGTTTGATATAACCATCCACATTATTCAGTCAAAGTCAGCTTAAGAGAAGGTGACACATCATCATGTAGTGAACTACGAATGTGAAACTCGATAGAACCGAAAACAGTAAAATTTCGTAAACAGTTTGATACTATTAATGAGTAGTCAAAGGAGAAGCATGAATACGTTTATCAAGCGATTAACCTTCATTTACATAAACGAGAAAAGATGCAGAACATTTTTTACAACCTCAAATGTTATTACTGCGTTGACGATTGAGGTACTAGAATTTGGTGTTGATTGCTGATTCCTATATTGGTGGATAAAGAGCACCGTCCTAATCTATGCGACCAAATATATCCAAATATCTATTGTCCGAAGTGCCCTCACCTGACATTTCAGCTGAATATGCAACGGATTATCACCAATTATGCAGTCAGTGTTGAAATTTCTCCCTCCCAAATCCTCAACTCCCATTTTATACACAATAAAATACTGATTTGATTTCCCTGAGTTCTATAGTGTGCTGTATTTGACCAGCAGAAAGCAAGCTTGGTCGTCACCTCTGCTTTTCCAATGTCCAAAGTTGCAGTTGTGTAAGCCGATTTTCCGATGCTAATTATTACTATGTTGTTCCAAAACATTTGGCATAACGGGAACTTCAATAGGCAATTAGTTTGCCTGGTGAAGCTTGAATATTCACTGAGAGACAAAATTTGTATATTTCTGTGCTCAATGAAAGTGCTATCGATGCACCCTATTTATTCAACCGTCATGTCTATGAATAAAAACTAGTTAGATCTGAAAAAGTTTAGTTTTGAAGAATGTTCATATTTTAATAATTTTCGCATTCAAAGTGTAATTTTTGAACGCACCTTTTGAAGCTTAATATCAAATGAACTGAATGTCAGCAGAGATGTTTAGGTCCTAAGAAAGGAAAATGCATCGAGCAGTTTCTCTGGTGACATATCACGCGGCATTTGTCTACGTTTATCGTTACGCAATTTCAGAGAAACAAGAGCAAGATATCACAATTCCTTATTACGAAGCTCAGAATATGAATAATCGTTTGTGTAAGACAATTTAACTATGTCCGGCTGTAATTTAAACAGTGCCACCAAATTGGTAGATGGGAGGCCACGGTTGGTGAAATGTTTTTGCTAAATACTTTTGTGTACACAAGAAAGAATTATGTTAAAGATGCTCTTAGTTTCTGATGAGGTCAGGAAGCAGTTTACTGGGTCGCAACCGATTTAAAACGTAAGCACAGGGGTGAGAAAATATATACTCATTTCACTGATTGCGTGCTTCGACTTCGCAAGGTGCATAACAATACAAATTTTGATTTGGTTACAATCGTGTTCAACCAGGCTGGTGGTTCCATGGGAACGAGTGAACAGGAGCTATAGTTTGGTTTCTAAGTTTAAAACAATAGAATGGTCTTGTTCTGAATGGATCCGTAATTTTGCCTAGTGCAAATTGTACACTTTCCAGGTCGATGTTTGGACATGTGAAATTCGTGAGAAAGACGGGTTTTCGCTATTCAGACTAGGGGACTGTCTCATTGAAAGTTCAATCCACAAACTTGTTTCGTATTTGATGCCAATTTGTTGCTATACATTCATACCAAGATGAATCGTAAAAATGCTTAATCTCTGTTTCATTGAGATCATTCTACGATTGCAAAAGCCTTTAAAACTAATTGTAAGCATTTTTGGTATTGTTAGCGAGAAACATTCAACAGTCTTCAAACCAAAAGCTGCTACAGCCTCGTTAGCCATGTATCGATGATTTAGCCCCCCAGTCATAATATTGTGTTTGTGCAGTTTAGCTATATTTCCTTTCAAGCTACTTTCGCATTAACCCCATGGAATAAACCATCAGTCGTTGGTTGATCACCACACCACATGTTCGAAGAAAATGCCGGGTTCTGGAAAAATCAGATGATAAGTTTAAGACATCAGTACTTGACAGACATATTTCGATCCTCGTAAGTGAAAACCTCTTGATGAAACTGAACAGAATAGATTATTTGACTTAACTTTACAGTTACTTGGTCAGTTTGGCTGAAGAAAAGTGATTTCATTGATGCTGTTATTCAGTAGCCTTTGTAATGCGATTTTCGCTGTTCATTGGAATGCGCTTCTCTCTCTCAAACGTTTCTAAAGCACGGGCAATATCTGCTTAATGATGAAACCCGCATTCGGTGTCTGGATTTGTTAGTTCTCAAGTGTACGTGCTACTACTTACCCTTATAAACACTCTCGCCTTTCTTTTATTAGTTTTGTTAGTTATGTACATGTGAAAGTGGCACAACTGTAGTCCTAATTTTGTTTTTGTTTTATTTGCATGAAAGTAAATCAACCTGGAGTTTGCAAATCGCCTCGCGGACTTCAAAATCGAGAATCAGTTGGATCTCGGTTACAAATATTTGTACATTGCGGTTGGAG